AGCTGACACAGTCTCTATGGAGATGGGTTTTTGGGGGGGTAGCAGGAGGAGAGAAGCTGCAGAGAGGCGTGTAAGACTGCAACTTTGCTTCCTGGTCCCAACTCTGGATACTCATATTTTGGGGGGTTTAATACATTTGTCCATATTTCTAGAAATGAGAGCTGCTCCATCCAAAGTGGGATGGATGCCGTCTCTCCTAACAAGACCAGGTTTCCTCCAGAAGGTTTGCCAATTATCTATGAAGCCCACATGCTCCACCAACCTGGCTGTCTGAAAGTGGTAGATGCTGGTCCAGATAAATTGAATCTCTAATAATTTGCACATTTCTTTCAGTGTGAAAGACATGAGCGATGTGCACTAGTCAGTCAGTCAGTATCGCTTTCAAGAGATACTCACCCACTCTGACTCCAACCCTGGGTTAGATCAGAGTTTGGGGGACCAGGTTCTGGATGCAGCCCAAGTCCACCATATAGCCTTGTGTATACCCCCTTGGTAACTTACCGGTGTGCTGTACGTCCCTCTCAGATGGATAGAGGGTGTTGGAGGGCCTGCAACATGGAACACCTGTCTGACCTCCATCCATAGACATTCCCAGCAGATGTGTCCTTATCACATGCACCTCCAACACTCTTGCCCCAAGCTCGTGTGGGTCCTGGTGCAGTGCCTGGGAAGGCAGAACAGGGAGATGTGATTGCAGCACAGAAGGGAAACCAGCATCTCGGAGCTAAGACTGGCCTCATCCCACTCGTTAGGCGGCCGCGTCTCTCAGTCTCCTCTAGCCATGCTGCTTGTGGATCTCTGCCAGCATGACTACCACCTCCAGGCTCGCTGGTCGAGGGCAGTGGACCCATTGCGCTGTCTTCCCAGGGAACCCCTCCACGAATTGTTCAAGGTCCACCAGCTCAAACTGCCACGCTTCCCCCTCTGATCCCCCGGGCTGCAGCCACCACATCAGAGAACCGCTGGGCCCATGAACTGCTGAGTGAAGGGCCAATACTCTGCCGACATTGCACTTTTCCAGAATTGCCAGCGGTCCAGCATGGCCCGGCAGATGTTGGGAAAGCACCGCGATGCCGGCAGCAAGCTCAGGGCCACCATCTAAGCCTCCCTCCATAGCAGCAGCAACCACTCGTCCATAGGCCACTGACACCCCTCTGCTGTGGCCAGGAGTGTCTTCAGTTTCCCCTTACGCACCACCATGTACTGTTTGTGCACGGCTGTGAGCTCTGCCGCCATCTGACCCAGCAGCTGGGCCAGCTGTACAGGCTATGGATCTGACATGCGTCCTGCGTTTTCGGGACAACTGTGATAGACAGACCCAGTAAACAGCGTTTTCAGGTAAGTGACCATTTATTTAAAGACTTCTTTGAGTTTTGTTGTGGCAGCTTTGCAGCTGACATGTCTCAGCTTGGCAACAACAACCCTCTGCCAGGTCCCTGCGTCAGTAAAAAGGAAGAGCCTGATTAGCAGCCTGGTCCCAGGTGCACTGCCAGCCTCTCTGGCACTGTGCTCTGAGCCCACTGTGCCACCCCTCTTCTGCAGCGGAGCTACAGACCACACCTCCACCACAGTGGTGTTGATACATGGTGTCCAAATTTGTAACTGTTCCAACTGTAATTATTTTTTGTTTTTTTAGGGGATTTTTAAGGCAGCTGTGTCCGATCTGACTTTGATCTGTCTTTCAAACTAAGTGTAGAGAACAAAGTGAGTCTGTGTGTGTGTCTGTGTGTGTGTGTGTGTGTGTGTGTGTGTGTGTGTGTGTGTGTGTGTTTCTAGGACCCGACTACACACTGCAGAAGTACAGTGACTCGCAAGATGTAACTGAGAAGCCCAGAGAGGAGACAAAAGAGAAATCTCTTTCGGGGAGCCCACATTTCTACAGGAAAGGCACAACACCAACCCAGTCTCCATCTGCAAGCCCAGGTCCCAGCCCTAGTCCTTCACCTACTGCTGCTAAAAAGGCTTTTTACAGCAGTAAAACTCTTGCCTCTGATGCAGCAGCGGAGGCTTTGACAGCAGGTAAGCAACTTTATTGCATGTTTGTCTATCAGATATTAGCTGTAATAGTAATACAGCTAATTTCTACATATTTACTGCAACAGGCGGTTTCTCAACAGTCTGGAGGAAGTTCTCCTGAAAGCTGTTATTTTTTCTTTGACTCTGTAGTTCATCTCATCCTGAACCATCTGTGTTTGGTGGGTTTAGGTTGGATTAGGTTATAGAGACTCATGGTTTGCCAATTAGGAAGCTGGAGGGTCTTTTTGCTTATTGTCTTGCGGAAAATTAACAGCATCCCGCAGATACTGTGAAGCTGAACTGAGATGTGAAGCTTGACTGAAAACTTGAAATTCTACCTCCTGAACCAGTATATTGTATACGCATTAGTCATTTGGTTAACTGTGGTCTCCATTACTCCTGTCTTTTTTTCATTGTACAGGCATAACAAAAGCAGCGTCAAAACTTTCTCTGAGACAGCAAGTAAGGCAACAAGAGGCTTCTCCAGCAGTCAAACAGTCTGCTACCACAACAGTCAGCAGTTACTCAAGCAATGGACAGATTCACTCCCAGTTCCATGGTTACCATGTTAAAGCAACTCTTAAGATTCAACCCCCTGAAGAACCAATTGGTGTAGTGGATGATCTTCACCCATCTGACCTTGTACACTTGCTGCCATCATCTGTCAAACAAATTCAACCACCCGCACCAAAACCCCTGCCAGCCCCTATCCCTTCACAAGTTCCAGCAAAAGATGGCACCAAAGCACAAGAGCCTCCCAAGGAATCGCAAAAAAAGGAATCAAGCAAATCAAGGAGCCTTGCAGAAACCAAGAAAGCCAGTATGGAAATGGATCCTGAAATTGTAGAAGATAAATCGGTGAGTTGAGTTGCCACACATATTTTTATAATATAGTATTCTAACAATCAGGGAGAATCGAACGCACAGTGAGTGTGCGTGTTCAGATTGTACTGACATGACTTATACTTTCTAGAATTTCCCACCAATGTTACAATAACTATAATCTGAATATGGATATATGTCCAGAATTAGGGCTGTTGCCATATCATGGTGCCCACGGTAATACCACAATACATTTTTACCTCATATAAAAGTGCCATATTTTGATATTAATGATATAACAATGCTATACATTTACATTCCCTAGCACACACACACAGACAGACATGTTTAGCAGTGAGGCCCACATGTCAGCCTTCAGTGGGATCTGATTATTCCAGATGTTGTGTGCGATGAAATGGATTTAAATTAGAGTCTGGATTTAACAGGAAGCCAAAACAGGAGAAATCTGCTCTCTTTCTAGTCCCTGTCAGGACTCTTGCTGCAGCATTTTGGATCAGCTGAAGGCTTTTCAGGGAGTTTTTAGGACTTCCTGATAATAATGAATCTTTGAGCTCAGAGAAGAAATTCGGCTGTTTTTACAGGAGGAAGACATGCATGAAGTTGCAAGGAAATGCTGTAAAACTTGTGAAAATCCAGTTAAAAGTCCAAAGTTACTGGTTGTACTTGTTTGCGGTGAGCAGCAGATCAAACAAGTTAACAATTATAAATGGTTTCAAACACACATCCAGGCCTGTGAGACTCATTTAGACACTCGGACACTGACCGTGGTTCTCTGGTACATTTCTGCATACTTTTTGTATATTTTGTGTAATATTCAGTAATAAACTGTAAATTTGGACTTTTTCAAGGAAGCATTTTTTTTTATTCAGTGTTTTCATTTTTTAATGAATTTACTCCTACTGGGGAGAACACACATGAGGTTTAAGGCCTGGACAATGATGAAACCTGGAAAATGGTTGCAAATAAATATGGGTACCACTTTAGGCAGCTCCTAATTTTATGGATTCGGCACCCAGCTTTGCTTGTTTTTTCACTTTTTCGCTACGCGATTGCATTTAATTCCCGCTCGTCTCTTTCTGTAGCTAGCCTGTATCACTACACTAGCTGTCTTGAAAGCGTCTAACTCCCTCCCTTCTTTCACATAACAGTATGATTACAGTCAGTCTTGTGATTTGCTGCATGGTGTGCCCATCAAAATAAAGTCCTTCCTACATGGATTCTCAGCAGGGTTGAAGATTCAGCTGCCACATACCGACAGGCATGTGGCATAATCAGAATCAGAATACTTTATTGATCCCTGGGGGAAATTATTTTTTGTTACAGTGCTCCATT